TAAAGGAAGTACCTCAGACTATGCTGGACAACAACAGGGATGTTTCAGGTCTGCAGAAAATGGCAGCAACTGACATAGCAGGAGTGTAAAGTACAGCAGTCTTTAGCCCATAGTAAACAGTGAGTCCGGAGCCAGAGGGGTCCAGCTCTGCAGCCACTGGGTCAGCTCCTCTCTCCCTGCCTCATATCTTAGCCCCTATTCTTCGCTTTAATGCGTGTAATGGAGCACTGCGAGGCTGAGAGTCCACTGCAGCAAAAATGTTTTTACTCCAGTGGAGTTATTTATCTTCCTCTGTAGGACAGCAGAGGAAGGGAATGGACGCTGACTCAGCACACACTGTCTATTCCGACCGGCCCAGGTTGTTTTATGTGTGCACCTTTTAAGAGCACCTTTGCCAAGATACAAAGTGCCAGTGATTGAACCGTGCCATAATGTGAGTCTGAGTGAGAAGTTATTCATGCGCTGGCAGTGTGAGCAGGTGGAGGAGCCCTGTCTCATACAGAATGACCTTGCCTCTGCTGCTTTCATTGCAGCTGGATACAAAACACATCGCCATTACCATCATGTTTAGCTAAGATACTGTAAATGAGCCTCATGCAGCAGCAGTGTTTTATTTTCTCCAATTTTCCGAAAGAGTAAAATAAGAGAAGTGGACCCAAGATGCACTTAACGTCTTACCGTGGATTTTTTATTATAATTTTCCAGAGTGTAAGTACAGGTATTATAGGGAAATGTAAAGGCGTATAAAAGCAGTATTTAAGCCGTTCCGATGTTGAACACACAGTCATCATACAAGGACTTCTATGATCTAATCTAAATTTGATCAAATGAGGAAAAAGTACTCAGTGGCGATAACTTTAATATTTGACAAGGGGGATATTTTTTGACAGCTACAATTAGAATTACGTCTGATTGTAAAATGTGACTTTGCAGGACTTTCTGATTAAGTTTCTGTATCACCTTTATCTTGGTGAAAACCACAAAATGAATAAGGCTTTTTTTATCCGACAATGCATTCCAGTTATGTTGTACTTGACTGTCTAAATGCTTGGAGGTGGACAGATGTACTTGGAAAAGAATGAAAAAAACAGTGTTTTATGGTATGTTACTGACACTGAAATTAAAATAAAGTTAAATATATATAAAAAGAGAAAATCCTCTATAAGTGCGTGTTAATTGTTGTCGTAAATTGTTACCTTAAAACTTGAGTAAATTTTTACCTTAAATTATATTAATATCCGATCCCATTTGTGTCATCTTAATTATCTGTCCTGGGTGGACAAAAGTTGAATATTTAGAGACGGGATATTTATATATTTTTAATCTTTTTTTTTGCTTCCCTTTATTGATAAAAGTTTAAGCTTACGGGTAATTCTGTTTGTCAAAGAGAACGCTTTAATAATCATGCGTCTTGAGTCAGATCGCACTTTGAAGTCAATTTTAACTTGAATCTGATGATTCAAGGAATTTTAATGAGTTCAACGAATAAAATACTTACCCATAAAAAAACTCTATGTAAGTTTAAATCTTCCCAATGAATTTGTGTTAAGGAAAAGTAACTAACTAATAACTGTTGCCTCTCTGAAGTAATTAGGTAAAAAGTAAAAGAACAAAGAGACATATTTCGGGAGCACTTGCTCTTATGCCGTTTTGACCTAACATTGGTACTTTTATAGGACGTGAAATAAAGCTGTCAGATAAATGTAGTGCAGTAAAAAGAACAATATTGGCTTCCAAAATGTGTGAGGCATAAAACTATAAAGAAACATAAAATAAACATACCCAGGTAACATACAAGTACTTCAACATTGTACTAAAGTAAAGTACTTGATTACATGTACTTTATTACATCCCCAACTGTCTTGTTTGATATTCCTTCATTGTTTTACATTCCTCACATTACAAATAAAACCATTTGTGAGCTATGAAAACATTTATTTTGTTAGGCAAGCGTTTTCTCGACCACTTGTAAAAACAGTGAATGCGAACAGAAATGGGCAAAAGAAAATTGTCAAGTAACAAGTAAAAGTAATAACAAACCATTTATATAAACTAAGAACATAAATCAACATGTATATAATATATTCAGTGTTTTAACAGAAGTAAAATAGGGCATTTTTATTGTTAAAATCTGTTTTTAAACACAAGTTTTCTTTAGTTAAATTGAACCCCATTCTCAGGAGAGTAACAGCTTAGGACACTCAGATACTGTCCTCAGGGTTTCCTTCATGAATTAGAGTGTTTTATCTCCCTGGGGTGAGTTTAATGTACGTTAAATTACTAAAGTAAATGGATTTTGATAGACTTTTTAGGCTATTATATGTAAAAGGTACTATAAGTGGAACAGTGACAGGGAACCATTTTACTGCACCAGTTAAAGCAATACCTTTACAGTACGTTTCATTTTGTTGATGATTCTTAAATAATTATTAAAGTAATGTAATCGATGCATAACTTAAAATTGTAACAAAGTATTTTCCCAATATCTTCCACCACTGGCTAATAATAAGTCAGGTTTAAGCCATAAGTTTAAGCCCAAGTTCCAGACTGTTATATATATCTATATATATATATATATAT